ATGATCACAATTTCGTGTATACGAGTCGTATATAATTAAGATTGAAAAGGTAGTCGAATAACTGATTCTTCTTTAAGCTCACATCCCATCGGGGAAAAAGAAGTTAAAGTGGAATCATCAATTCTAAACCTGTAGAACCTTGATTATATATCACTCTTATATATACATTCCTCAATGATAGGTCAACCGCATGAATCCTTGGATTAAACTTGATGTACTGCACGAGTGGTACTTCGGAGATTTCTTCGGAAAAGAGAAGAACTAAGAGGTACTCCACGCATGAGTACTTCGGTATTATGAAATGATGGTTTCGCTAAAAAGGCATTTACTGATGAGGAGACGTACGTATGAAGTTTTTTTTGTGAGGATCAAATTAAATCGAGTCGTATGATAATGTCGGAATCATACTGAAACTTAAAGACATTAGATTTGAACATAAGACGTTTACAGACAAAACACAACCGTGCAACCTTCAACAGAGTTACAATATTTTAGACTTACAAGAAGACCATTGCTGCGAATCAGGTATACTACAAAAGACAGGTATACGCAGCACGAGCATCCTTATACCAACAGGATCTCCCAAAAGGTAAGACTCTAGTTGCACTAGTTCTGGATAGTTTATAACTCTGTTACAACAACATGCCTAAGTTACATTAGCGTGGTTCTGAAGTAGGTTCTTCTGTAGCTGTGATCCTGAGAATCCTCCCATCTGCGCTAGAGTTCTTTGCTATAGGGCAATCCTTCTTGAAGTGCCCTATCTCACCGCATTGGTGACATATCTGGACAACACCAACCTTGGTGGTGGAAGTGAAGTGTTGAGTAGGAGTCATGGGGACACGGTTGCTTTCATTAATCTTCTCTTTTGGACAATTTCTGTAATCGTGCCCTTCCCCACCACAACTATAGCAAACTAGGTTTGCTCCAGTGGTGGAGGTAGTTCTGCAGAAACAAGCAATGTGTCCCATCTTGTTGCAATTATTGCATTGCCTGGCTCGGAAAATTCCCTTGTGGTGGTAGTTGCACCGGTCGCACTTCGGGAGTGTTCCTTTATATGATCTGCTCGGTACTGGGATGGCAGAGGTTTCCAGTTGTTGTTGTCGTACGACAATTCTCTGAAATCACTTGCGTTTTACTTGAGCTTGACGTTTTCGTTTCTTGAACTCTGAGTTGTTGTTTTGAGCGGTGGCAACTGTTACTATTTGTTGATTTCTTGGATTATTAACACGATCGGGATTGTCAACTCCTTTTTTTCAGTCTTGGTTGCATTGACAGTACTGTGATTTGCTAGGACAGCTGTCACGGCAGCCATCACAGTAGTTGTAATGGCGGATTGAAAAGTAGCGGCGTCCATAGGAAAAGTAGAGGTTTCGTTGCTTTGCTGATTGTTTCCGGATGACGACATGATTCTGTAATACGAAAGATAAGGACTTTGTGAGTGGTACTGGTAAACCCTTGATGTACTTAGATTGTTCAAGTAAAGAGTAAGAGCATGATCTCGGAAATTTTGACCTACATCCCTATGATGCAGTCCTAGTACGGGCTGGAGGTATGTTCTCGAAGGTTTGACCTACATCCCTATGATGTAGTCTTAGTACAGAATGGAAGTGAGTTTGTAGAATGGTCTCAAGATGTTTGTCGTTCAAGCCTAGGTATCGTTGGTTGGTGAATAACATGATCCAACCACTAAAAGAGACTTAGAAATGTCTCTGGAGTTAAATTACTATAGTCCAATAACTTGACTAAAGCATGAATTCAGATAGACTCCAATGAAAGTATGATAAAAGTACTTTAATGAAGAATGACACAGACGTTAGACAACTGTCAATATCTTTGATATTCATGACGTACAAGTTCGGGAAAATGACCTTGTAAAAGGTCCTACATCATATCCAGAGAAGATACTCCTTGATAGCATAAAAACCTAACCAAAAGTACCCATGGTACAAGATAGTTTCATCGAAAATGCCACATCGGGCATAGACAGAAATCGATTCTTTTCTAACAAGGAAAGTAAGGTAAAGAATCTACTACTGGTGACAGTCATCCCTCTGGTGAACTCTCAGTTCAGCCAGTTGACGTTCCACATCAAGTAGGTGTCTTCCATATACCCTCTGGCGTATTCGGAGCTCAATGACTTCGGCTCGGGTTTCAGCTAGTGCTTGTAGCAAGGTTTCGTGGTTTCTCTCAGATCTCTCACGAGCATGTTCAAGGCTGTTGGTGCGAAGGATATGCATCCCTCTATTGGTGTCAACTTCCTCGATACGACGTAGGGTTGTCCTGCCCTGAATTTCGTTTCGGGCAACTCTACGGATCAGGATTGGTAGAACTCTATCTGCTATGCTCCCTTCATTTACGTTGTAGAAGCTTCGGTCTCCATTAAACGGCATAGGTTGATCTTGATCTTCGCTCCATGCTTCCAAACATTCGACCCATAAAGGCGTCGGGCCATGAAAAGCCGGACAAGGGTTAGGAATTGGAAAGGGAGCTGCCTGGGGTAGGTTCTCAACTTCGGGTTCGAAGTTAGCACCATCCGAAAGGTCTTCATCATGGTGATCATTCACAGGAATTGGATGATCATTCGTTGGTTCTTCTTCAAACCATCCAACAATGACCTCGTTCGGAAGGTACGGGTTGCCGTGGGGATGGAGTCCAGCCATGTTATCTATGCGAGAATTTGGGGTACGAAAATAATTATCAGACGAAACTATCTAGATAATTATTTATAAAATCTTCATTAGTTACATTGCTATTTGTGAAGTGCATACCAGTTATATGTAATCGAAACAGGAGAGACCTTCGAATGAGTGATAATAACTCCAAATTCACACATAATAGGGGTAAAGTAAAATTTTTCACAGATTGTAAGTCTATAACATCCTAATTACATATAGCCTTAGTGTATCCACTTAGAAACTATCAACTTAGTAATGAAGATCCCGTTTTAGTTCTCAAGTATAAAGTACTTATAGTAACACCAAATACTCCTATAGTATTTTAAGTTTAATGTTATGTTCTATTGTTCTCATTGTGGTACGGTTGGTAAGATTTTAGACTTGTTGCAACCACACAATTAAACTTAGGCACATGCTAGTCAACCCTCGGATAATATAGGGGATCAGGCTATATCTTCCCAGTTTTGACCATATGTCTCTAAGCCCACCTTTGTTGCCCAACAATTGTAATTATTTTGTACTGTCCCAGTGACACTGATTTTAGTATGAATGCAGGCATGTATACTTAATTAAATATTTTATTATTTAAAGTATAAACTCTTGGTCAGAGTATTTTTAATCCCTTATGTATTTATAGTTAGTATATCTTTATGGGTTGATATACTTAATTCACTATAAACAATGCTCTGATACCAATCTGTCACACCCCAAAACCATGAACATCGGAAACGTTCTGGGGCGGAGGACGTCATGTATAGTATCACAACAATGAAAAGTAGTAAACAAGCAACAACATCATCCGTTGCATTAATAATATAATTTTTAATACAAGTGTTCTGTCAAATTATAATAGACACCAAAGTATAAATCGAAAAGAAAGATGAGTCTTGATCGAGCTCCATCTTCTCTAAACCTTGCATCGGTACCTGTCTATGGTTGACCTAAGGATACAAGTTATTTTGAAAGAGAGTATCAACTTTAAAGTTGGTGAGATCATAAGCATTTTAGTGTCTTAATTTGTATGTAAGTATTTGTATGTATATGAACTGTAGTATTGAAAATGTATATGAATTGTACGTATGAACATGTTAGTAAAACAACTGTAACCGTTTCAAAACCCCTAGAAATCCCTATGATTCCTACTATAAAAAGAGAGAGAGAGTCTTCTACCAAGACCTAATTGCTCTGAATGCAGTCTTCTACCAAGACCTAACTGCTCTGAATGTAGTCTTCTACCAAGACCTAACTCTCTGAATGTAGTCTTCTACCAAGACGTAACTGTCTGAATGTAGTCTTCTACCAAGACATCTAGTGTATGTATGTGTGTCTCTTGTAAGAGTGTGTATTTTCCCAAGTCCGACTATCATTAACCAAAAATATAGTTTCTACATTACTGTGCGTCGTGTGAATGTTCACGAAGTGAATGTAATGGGAAAATGAAATAGTACTATGGTGTAGTGCCGAACTACAACCGTACCAATTACCTTAAGTTTAGGGTAATTCTTCTAAGTAATGTAGCATTTGTAATAAATAACTACATCGGTACTCAACTGCCTTATTTGAGGGATAAGGTATAATGTGATGTCTAGATCCCAAACTATACACTCCCCTATCAAAGAGATTTTGAGACCTACCTACGACCCCTGCATGTATGCAAGCCGTGAGCATCCACATTACTATGATCATGTATACTCGATATAACTATCACAATTGCATTGTGATTCATCGGTATAGTTAGATCCTGAACTGGTTCCATGCTATAGCACCTAGTGATGTCTGTTCTATGTATATGTAAGTGTGATCATGTAAACATATCTATGTAATAGTATAGTAATGTACTGTAATGTTCTAGCTGTAATGTATGCTCTCTCTATCTAGCAAGTATATTAATGTACTGTAATGTTATAGAAAGTATTGACTCATGAATGAACTGACTCATTGTTTGATATCGCGTTCTAGTAATAGTTCTAGTATCTTCCTAAACTACCCATAT